TTTTATTTTTATTAGTTATTTTTGTTTTCTTTAAAAAAAAATTGGGAAGGGCTGGATTTTTTTTTTTTTTTTTACTTAATCTGCAGTGGTGGTGATTTGGGACTTGTTTTGCAGCCACAGGACATGATCTTCATTAGTCTAAAGTCCTCGTCATTCAGCTTTGACTCAAAGTGGGTCTTCTGGCAAGAAAATCTTCCATACAACAACAAATTTATTATAAAGCGGTTTATAAAAATGAAAAACATTGTGTTGGATTGTTTCTACCAAACTCCAGATCTCAACTTTATTCAAATTTCTTTAAATTCTAACAAGTCTATAAAGAATTAGTAAAGATTCCTCCTATTTGACCAAAGTCATTTGGATAACTATGTCAGACTGTTAAAGCTACTGGCAGTTAGACTTGATTATTCCTCATTTTGCTTTTGCTTGCTTTTTGACTTTTGTTTAATAAGTTATGTCGAGGTTAAATCTGCATGTTTTCACATCATTAAAGTTTAACTAATTTCAGAACCAGAGAAAGAACAGATTATTTATCCATTATACTAGAATTCAAAACATGTGCACATTTACCTTGCCTATATTTAAGTGTCTGTCATCACAACCTGCTGTTCACATCGACGACGACTTGAGAAGAAAAAAAAAGATGCTGATTTTTTTTTATTTTTCTTTTGCTTCTTCAGGAAGAAACTTTAACCCAGCAATCACCTTAAATTGGGTTTTTGATGTTGTGTTTCTTGAAGAAATGTGGGCTACTTTATTTACTGTAATAGTATATATCTGGCAAAACCAAACATGGGAATCATTTTAAAACTCCTTGTTTCCCTTTTGATCTAGCATGCTTCCCAAAGCAGTGAAGAGGCGAGTGCACGCCTTAAAGAGACTACAGGAACAATGTGCTCACATCGAGGCCAAGTTCTACGAAGAGGTTCACGAGCTAGAGAGAAAGTATGCAACTCTATATCAGCCACTATTTGACAAGGTAATTTCAAATCACCAACATACCTGACACTTCGACATTCTCAGTGCGTTTTTTGTGAGAGCAAACAGATTTCCCCAGAAAACAAAAGTTTTAGTCAAATTTCCAGTGTGAGCCAATACAAAAGAATGTCTTATCTGCACCAATGAAATGTCTCTTCGAACTGATCTGAGGTCAGTGACATTGCATCCCTGGTGCTAAATGATAACTGTCTAAACGAGTAGTCGGCTGTGCTTTGTCAGTCCAGGCTATTTCCAGCGATAGTGACAAGAGCCGTGCGATTCCTCAACATGTGAGAGAGTGACAGCTGTGGCCTGTTGCGCATATACACACACATGCACTCGTTCACGCTCATGTGTGTATGCGTGTGTGTTCAGTCGCTTAGGTGATCAATGTGCTTACTGACAATAATTTAGTCTGACTAAATTCATATTTGTTGAAAAGGATGTTTCATGGTAGTATGCCTCAGTCCTTCTCTTAACTCTGATTTTATAATAATATTTGTCTTGTAACAGAGAAGAGAGATTGTCACAGGAGCAGTTGAACCCACAGATGAGGAGTGTGAATGGCCAACCGATGAGGATGAAGAAGAGGAGCTTGCTGTAAGTTCATGTTTGATTTTCTTGGGCCTGGTCCTTCCTCTGGCTTTAGACTACAAAATAAAACACATTCGCACAACTGGAATGAGATGTCATGATTGATCTCATTGGAACGCCTCCTTTGGATTCAGTCCAAGTAATCACCAGTTTTTATAACTTCTAAATTGTATTACAACAGGATTGAGATTGAGGGTTAACGAATTAAACAAAATTGAGTTTTTGTCGTGTCGAAGCGTTGGGTGTCATCTGTTGTGTTTAAGTATGCTGTAGGCATGAGCTAGTTTGAAATTCTCTCATTTAAAGCAAAGTATCTGCTTAAGTATTTTTAAAAAATTGACATAAATGATCATAGTTATAATGTTCAATTTAACATTTGATAGATAGACTTAGTAAGGAAGGTTAGCAGCTGTGTCGTAGTCTCCCTACAGCCACAGATACTCCAGCACTTTCTATGTGATTTCATTAAAATGACTTTAAGACTCAAGAAACATTTTGACAAAGCCTTAGCATCAAGCTATGTACCTTAATGAAATTAACTGGCCCATTACTATCATTTTTAGTCAAGATAATTTTGCACAGGACATTCATTTAATTTTATTTATACATGTTCTTTAAGCCTGACACCCACCTGAATCCACTCCTTGGTCCTCTGCCATATTGATCTTTATTTCTGCCTTAATTATGTCATGTAGCTGTTTTTGTCACTGCAGTTGAACATTGAGCACTGTCCTAAATATGAAACGTTCTTCTGCAGTCATTGCAACATCTTTACCCAAATGTGACTCATAATGAAAAGTTAAGATAAATAGGAGGAACTTTGATCATTTCTTCTAATTGTTGATAGGAGGAAGTAAAGGAAAAGGCCACCATCGAGGATGCAAAGAAGGAGGAAGCCACGCCAGAGGAAAACCCGAAAGGCATTCCCGACTTCTGGCTCACCATTTTCAAGAGCGTGGACATGCTCAGTGACATGGTGCAGGTATGGATTCATTTCAGACTTTTGAAATGTAACCTTATGTTGGAAGAGTGTTTTGAGTTTTTGGAAATTAATTTTGAATTATCCACCAGGAACATGATGAATCCATCCTCAAGCACATGAGAGATATTCAAGTAAAGTTTTCTGAACCAGGGCAGCCAATGGTGAGTATCAACATCCACCTTTTTTCATCAACACGTCTTTGATTACTAAATTATGTGTATCTTTTTCCTACCTCCTACAGAGCTTTACGTTAGAGTTCCACTTTGAGCCCAATGGCTATTTCAACAACGCAGTCCTTACTAAAGTCTACAAGATGAAATCAGAGCCTGAAGCATCAGATCCTTTCTCATTTGAGGGCCCAGAGATCATTGACTGTGAAGGGTAGGACTCAGTAAACCGTCACAGTTTTTTAAATGTTATTTTGAGTTTCAGGCTTGAAAATAGATCTTGCGTGGTTTGACAAACATTTCTGCGGAGTTGTTCTAAATTAATCTCTGACTTTGCATCCCACATATCAGCCTCCTCGTGTTTGCAGCCTTGGTTTCAGCTTGTTCTTGCTTTTTTTTTCTTCTTTATGCATGCTTTCTCTCTCTAGATGTCAGATAGATTGGCACAAGGGGAAGGATGTGACGGTGAAAACTATAAAGAAGAAGCAGAAGCATAAAGGTCGCGGCACGGTCCGCACTGTCACCAAGCAGGTTCCCAATGACTCGTTCTTCAACTTTTTTAATCCTGTTAAAGGTGAGAACGAACACGCACGCCATTTCACACACATTTATCTAGTAGTTGTCTTGTACCATTTATGAAGGAAGTTCAAACATCTGTTTTGCTCTTTATTTTTTTTCCCCCTCCGTCATAGGTTTCATTTTATGAGCAAATCAAATAATTTATTTGAAATCAAAGACTTTGTGGTTTACCAAGAATTGTTGATTTTTAAAGCTAAACAAAAGCTTCTCCACATATGTGGAAGCTTTTAATATTAGCCATAAATTGGCTAATATTAATGGCAAAGGATGTGGAATTTGCAGTGAAGATTTAATTTGTTCAACAAAACCACCTCTAATATTTGCTTTTATATTTAATATTGAGATTTTTTTTTTTTCAGTCCCCTCAGCCATTTTAAGAAACGTAATCTGATTATCAGTGCTTCAGTTGTTGGTACCCCAGCTGTCAACACTGTGTACCTCCATTTCTTCACCGTAGTTCAGCCCGTCTTCGTCCTCTAAAACATGTCACAGATTTGGAGCTTGGAGAGAGGGATCTTTGATTATTTCTAACATCTCTTCAGATTGTCTTGACAGGGTTTTATCTCGTGCTCTTTAGCTCTCCTATAAGATGGGTAGATTTGCTGTGTGTTTAAACCCATGTACTGAAGCAAACCGGTAAGCATTTTGCCTTCAAACTCACCAGCAGGTGGCACCAAACTCTCACAAACTGAACAGTCACATTTCGACAGCATCTCCCTGTTGCCGACTAAAGCTGAGTTAGAATGAAGTAATTTGGGGATTTTTATTTACAGCATTTTCATGTTTATCTTCACTTTCACTGTGATGGTTTTCTTTTCTGGTTTTCACCAGTGATTCAGTTGCTGAATCACTGGTGTTGAGTCAACGATTTAAGCTGGTTATTTCCTAAGTTAACAAATTAAAATGAACATTTAGCTGTATATTTGACAGTTTATACCATATTAGGCAAGTTAGACATGTTTTCTTTTTGTGATTTTGTTTTACAGAGAAAATTGTATGAAGGTGGTTTATGCTTCACTGATTCAATTTTGCCTGGAAGGAGATTTTTTTTTTTTAGTTATTTTAAATAAACCAATTGTCAGATTGGACAGATTCTGTTGCAGTTTTTTTTTTTTTTTAAACCTTTATTATCCTTCTTTTATATCACCCTATCAGACATGCCTGGACTTGCACTGACACAAAGATGAGCAGTTATCAGTCTTTCTGGTTCAGCCATAATTGTGGTGTGTCACTTGAATATAAATATCATTGTGTCAGCCGCGTTCAGGTGTGCAGCTTTGGGGGTGGGAAGTGTGGCGCGGCGGTGAAAATTGAGTCACATGATAATTTACGTGACTCAGCCTTTCTTTACCCCATCGAATTAATGGTTCGTTTTCTGGGCTGCTTTTCTTTTTCTCCACTGATTAAAGTGAGGTTACAAGTAAAATACTCCTTTTATCAGGAGAAAAAAAAACTCTATTCTTTAACATAACTTTTGTTAAAAAGTTTACCAACCCTTATATATCCTGGGAAATTTGGGAAAATGCAATTATCACCAGCAAAGATGGTGGAAAACACACACACAAAAATACACAATAATCAGAATTATGAAATGGACTACCCAGTAATGTTAAATATTAAGAAAAAAATAAGAATAAGAAAGTTGCAGTTTAACATGAAGAGCTGTTGTTGATTACTAAAGGCGGAGGATCCTGCTTTAAGTAAACCAGGATTTCCAAACACTGCAGTGTTGGAGGGCTGAGAAATGTCACCTTTGATTGTTTTTGTATTCAGGGTTGAGTTTTATTTATTTTTAGATGTGAGTAAAAGATTTATGATTTGAAGTCATGATGCATTTCTTTTTGTCTTTAAATATGACAACTCTGCATGCTGAGTTACTTAAAGAAATGCAACACCAAATTGTGGCTTTAAGTTAAATAAAATGAACGTGAAATTACTTTCCTCTTTTTTTTTTTTTTTACTTTGGTTCCTTTAAGACTTCTTGCTCTCGACCTTACATGTTTTCTTTATCTTGCAGCTTCACCAGATGGAGAACTGGTGAGTAAACACAAACATGTTCATCATAAAGTCGTTGTTGCATCGTTGTTTTGGCTAAACTGCTCAATCTTTTTGTCCGACAGGATGAAGACTCCGAGTTCAATCTAGCCACAGACTTTGAGATCGGTCATTTCTTCCGTGAGAGAATAGTTCCCAGAGCAGTGCTTTACTTCACCGGTGAGGCTCTGGAAGATGACGAGAGCGTAAGTCCTACACTCGCAAACACACCTGCAGACAGGATTATAGAAAATCTGATTTATATAATGGGAAGTTTACAGACTGAATGAGGATACAAAAGCTAAGCATGTGCTGACTGCTGGGTGTTTTTATTCTTAATTGTGTTGCAGTTTGAAGAGGAGGAACTGGAAGAGGGAGATGAAGAGGTTAGTAACAATAGCAGGGAAAGATTAAAGCCCATCAGATTTGAAATACGAGTCTATCCACTTAGGTGACACTTGGGTGTGCAGCTTCCTTTAAACTCATGCCGCTAAACATTCCTTTTTGTGTTCCAGGAACAAGAAGAGGAGGGTGATGATGATGATGAAGAGGGAGATGGTGACCCCAAGGTCAGTTTGCACCGTAATCGTGAAGCTTTAACCTTTTGTTTTTAGTGACAAACATCTAATAGAAATGATAATGTGCAGAGTGCAGCACTATGTTTTACCCATCTACAGCAGGTTTGGGGTGGCATGAGCTGTAAGGAAGGGAAAAGTATATACTGGCCTTCTATCAGCCAGCTGATCAGCAGTGCTCAGCAACATGTTGAGGAAACTGAAGTGTGGATCTCCTTTATGCTGCGCACAGCCAGAGGAAAAAAATGGATCACTCCAGCGTTTTGTCCGGCATCTCATTAAATGTACTGTAAATGATAGGAATGGCATGATGCTGCCATATGTCCTAATGTTGACATATATTAGGCATTAAAATGTATCACGTTAATCATTCTCATACGGTCATCTTCATCCAAAGAAATGTTTGCACTCTGTCAAAGATTTAACTGAAAACAGTTCTCTGCATTTCTGTACTGTAAGAAATGAGGCCGAGTTCAAAGAACAGGAACCGGCTCGTATCAAAACAAAGTAGATTTTCTGTATGTTAAAGGGTCTGAGGAGTCGGAGAACATTTTCAGTTAAGTCTGTTTTGAGGTTGACTGAAGTTTTGGCCTTGGTAAACGGTTACTTGGTGTCTTTGTTAATCAGCTACTGATTTTTGCTGTGGTGGTTCTTTGACCAACTACTGCAATGTTTCACTTTATGTTCACTTTCATCTGTGGACGTGACAATTAATCCTTTTCATACTGTTGTCTCTCCCTTACCCTGGATCTCCTCTTCATTACAGGCATAATCAATCATTCTCACTTCATGCATTTCTAGGTAAGGGGGAAGTAAAGATGGCAGCCCGTATTCTTTGCACACCCTTTATGGGGGCTTTTATTATTCTTCCTTTCTTTTTCTCTATGCCCTTTATTCTCCTGGTAGTTCAGTTTTAACCTCCAACTTGCATCTTGGGTTAAATGAGAAAGCTTCTCTCTTTGTCATGTTTGTGTTTCCCATTTATTCCCTCTTTTTACCATCCCAGGTTTCTAACATTACCTTTACTTCGCCAAGCCAGGTGCCTTCAGCCTTCTGCATTTGCTTTCTTAGTAAACCTCTTCTCCATGCTCGCTGACGCTCCGAAGGCTTTCTAAGCTCTGGTGGTTTCCTAACCATCTTGTTTTCTGTGTCCACAGAAAGAACAGCCTCAACCTGCCGAATGCAAACAGCAGTAACCGTGATGATCAGGGGAGGTGGAGACCTGCTGCCCATAAAAATCTGTCCTCAGCCTGTCCGTTAGACCTCCTACTCCTGCAGGCGCCACCCTTTTACAAACTCTCATCGGAACGCAATAGAACCCAAACCTATGTTTTTACTATGTGCATGACTTCTTTTTCTACGGTCTTGCAGCATCTCACCCTGTTTATTTGGCTTCATTTGTCATCACAGCCAGCATCAACTCTTAATAAATTACCATGGTATCACATAGGTACAGTCTTTTTCTTCTATTGAGTTTAGGTGTCTGCTTAAAACGCAGAGCATTATACAGAGGAAGATTGGAAAGGAATCGCTCGCAACTTTATTTGTTATGGAAATAGGTCAACTACTCAGGGGTTTTTAATGCCAACAAGCAAATTGAGTTTACTAGGAAACTGCTGATCAAGTTCGACATAATCTATCACTGGGGTTGTTTTTCTTTAATTTTTTTTTCATATTATTTCTTAAGGCATACAATGTACCATTTTTATTTTAATTTACTGTTTTACATGTTCATTGTTTTGTCATTGGACTATTTATTGTGGTGTCATGCAGCTGGATGTGACTTCATGGTGAGGGAATGCTTCAAGGCATTAAAAGGCTCATTATAATTGGCTTAAATCCCCCTTTTAGACACTGAGAAGTATTGTTTTTTTTTTTTTTTTTCCTTTCAACAAAACATAATGCCAATCTGCATCTGTTTATATCTGTCTGCTCACTTCTGGCTTGCTTAGCTGGGTATAACAAGCATTTAAGCTGAGCACGATGCTAAACGTTTCTCTTTCCCCTTCAACCCTGAAATGCTCTTAGAACTGATGCCATGGATGGAAAAGTGTGACAAAGATGCATTTTTCTTTATATTTTCAGACTTCAGATGGTTGGATTATTGTAAGCTTAAACATGGTATGTATTAAAGACTTCAGAGTTGATAGATGAAAGCAGTCTGACTTAACTTTTTGTAATGATTTTGTATAAAATAGCTTCTTTTATGCATCTTATTCCTAACAAATTTCAAAATGAGTAATGTGATAGTGCAGGAAGCTTAGATCAAAGTTCTGTTGCCAAGAAGCCAAATGTAAAGACAAACCATGTGGACTTTTAAAATCGTTTGCTAGTTGAATAATGTAATCGAATACAACATTTAAAGTTGTTAAACTGCATATATACACGTTTTTTTTTTTTTTTGTATGTTTAATGGTTCGGTGGAAATATTCATGGAACAGGGTGCCAATGTATGTTCTCCTCTGCACATGGGTTTTGGCTATTTATTTGGACACACTTGCCTGATGACTGTTCATCGATAGTGACAGCATTCCCCATCTTCTCCCCCTTCCCTCTTTTTGAAAAGAACGATTGTACTTCTCATCAGATGGTTCAAAGGCCACGGTTCACATTTTCAAATCCCATCAAACCGTGCGCTAGTGATGGCCTTAACTGGTTCTTATTCACAGTTTGTTACTTGCGCAATGTTTCTTTTCAATTTGTACAGAGTTAGTTAAAATATTCTATTAAAGTTGTGCGACATGGTGACGTTTTGGTTGGTTTTTGTTTTATTTTGAAATCTGAACTATATTGCATTACGTGCACTTGCTGCGCATTTGAATATCGTAATGAGATAAACGCATATTCTGATTTCTAGTAGGAAAACTTGCACGTTTTCTACATGGGGTTGAGGAATTAAGGGCAGTGAAAGTCCATTCGATAACCTAAAAACATTCATGCTTAACATTGGAAACCATAGCGACAACATTGTGCAGTTCACATGAGGACTTAATGGAACAGTAACGGAAGGGAACCAATAGTTTCCATGAAGCCTTGGAGGAGACAAGCATGGAAAAGCATGCTCTAGTCCAAAACAACTAAAACTTCACTCTTTGGCCTACATGTAAAACGCTTTGTGTTAAGGAAGGCTACCTCACCTCCGCCTGAGCACATCATCCCCATGGTGAAACCTTCATACCAAGCAATATTTATGCATAATTGTGCAAAACGGAGCAGCTTTCTTTTCTTTTTTTTACATTATAAGGTGACCTCTGTGCTCTAACTTTCTTCGGGTGATTGCACCGGCTGCTGACAGCACAATATGACACGACAAACACTAACTTAACCATTAAACATCAGCTGATGGTTTGCAAATGATTGCAAAGAGCTAAGAGCCAAACCTGCAGTCAGCTTGAGTGTGAACTGAACCCTGGAGAGCAACGGAAAAGCCTGGAGTCCCGTCTCACATCCTGATCCTGCATGCGTCTCTGTTACAATGTAAATCATTGTGAGGAGATTTTACAGAAAGGTATCGAGCAGCATGGCTCGTTAACGGCAGTGTTTTTTTTTTTGTTTTTTTACCTGTCACCATCTGTCTTAATAGGAACAAAGGTGTTAACATGAGGGAGTGAGAAAACAGGAGTCTGGATGACATCAAGACACTGAAGTCCCAGTTAGCATCAAAGGTTTCTTTTAGAGCTGCTCGTTTCATGTAATGGAGAAAACAAGTGGGTTAATTTCTCCAGAGAAGACAAACTAATACCAAAATGTCATGTTCTGTAGCTTTCAGATTTTGCTTTACATGAACGGTGAACAAGCAGCTATTCATGCTGAGGCTGCTGTGTGGGGTTGCGGACTGCCTCGTTGCAACGAGAACAATAGTGACTCGGAGCTCATTTTGGCATTTTTAATAACAAGCTAGAGAAATTGAGCTGAAAAAGTTGAGTTATAATTGTCAAACATGTTTATACTTACAGCTGTGAAGATAAAAGTAGTTGGACAGTTTGATATATGGGCATTTAATCAGAAAACTATAGGCAAAAGTTTTTTTGTTCCGTTACTCATTAGAAATAAATAAATTTGCCGTGTTTAAGCCTCAGACATTTTGGCTGCTCTGCTTCTTACTCTTGATGTGAGAGACTGAAAGACCTGTCAGAGGCCATCAAAAGAAAAAAACTATTAGTTTATGAGTCTGGTGAGGGGTTTAAGGAGGTCTCAAAATAATTAGAAATAAACCATGCCTCTGTACTGAAAACAGCCTGCAGGTGGAAGACAATCAAAGTAACAGCCAGCATACACAGTCCTGGCAATAACATCAAGTTAACCCTGAGACCAGGTTGAGAGATGGAGAAAAAAAAAGTCTTCAAAAACTCTAAAGTCCCATTACGAGACCTGAAGCAGATTCTCACAGCTGTTCATATGAAAGTCTGTGCCTCTATTAACACTCACTGGGAAATACAGTTAGGCTTTGTATTCCTCAGCTGTTTGATGTTCATGGGTGTGCGGACAAAGAGGGAGCTTAACGACAACAAATGCAGAAGAAATCAGTGTAATGGACTGAAACGGAGGCCACCTCCGTGTTGTGCTGCTGCACCGAGGACGGGGGTGGAACAAAACCGCATTCATACTGACGGAGTTATTCCTTTTGCGAGTCGTCTCATCCTCATCCAGCGGGACTGTGAAGAGACGTCTTCTCCTAACCTTCATCCTCGCTGCAGCTGCACCCGTCACAACTTCTCGGCCTCAAGGTGCATTGTCCCCAACTGTTGCATTTGTGAGCACACAAATGCAACAGTTGGGGGTGAGCGGGGTTTTCTGTGTGTCGTCCTCTGTGCAGCTTCTTCCGGAGCGGATGTGATGTGAGCCAGAGCGGTTAGGGAATAGAGAGAGGCTTTATGCTGCTTTTGCCCGGTTGGTGTTCAGGCCTGAATGAGCCGAGCAAGCGGCCTGATAAAGACACTATGGACCGCAACCAATGTAAGGAACACTGACCACAAACTGACTCGTTTTACACTTTACTCCTATGGGAAAACAGTTCTCTGTAGTGCTGCATTTCTAACTTTTCCGTTTAGAAAAATTATAAAGTTGATTATTGCGGAAGCTTCGTATTACGAACCGACTTTTTCCAAATCTCTGTGCATCATGTCAGGATTTTTTTTTTTTTCAAAATCTCTTTTATTGTCTATTCAATGTCACATGCTGTTTTTTTTGTTGTTTTTTTAATTATGTAAAGCACTTTGAAATGCCTTGCTGCTGAAATGTGCTATACAAATAAAATTTGATTGATTGATTTAATAGGTTGATGCATTGGACTAAATGCAAAGCAATAATGGAATCCAGCCTGTTGCAGCCTGCAACAGAATTTAAAGAGTTATTTCAGGTTCATTTTCTAGCAAGACAGCAAGCCTAAGCTTAAGAGCAGAGATACAATTTAGATCAGATCACTCTTGCATCGGGTGCTGCGGTGGCGCAGAGGCTAGAGCACAGGACTCGTGTACGGAGGCCTCAGTCCTCTACAAATGTCTTCCTCCGTCTCTCATAACGCACCTTCCTGTCAATCTACTGTGAAATAAATACTGCTGGAACCAAAAAAATCCTTGGAGTTGAAAACTAACTCTGTTTTCAGTTCTAGGGCAAACTGCTGCTCATAAAACTAACCAATTCCGTAGAGGTGAAATGCATGCCCTACTTTTCGGTTTTTGTTTTCGAAAGAATTTCAAAGCTGTGTATAACATTTTCTTTCCACTTCCTGATTTATGCTATTTTGCTTAAATCTGTTACGCCACACACAAATAAAATACTTGGTTGTAGCATGGCAACATGTGGAGAAGATCAACCTCGATAAACACTTCTTGCAAGACAGTATAGGGGTGAAGGAGGGCAAACCTAAAGTGGTAAATATTCCCGTTCCATGGAGCTTCGGCCCACGCTAATCACACTCAGAGCCAGTAGATTACCACAGCCTCCTCCTCCCACAACATTTCCACGGCACGCTCCGCTCTGCAACGCTGTTCAGGCAGGCCGGCTTCCTAAAGTTTGTGAGAGGGGCAAAGCCTCCTCCAGGAACGAGACCAAACATGGCCATGACTCAACACGTCAGGCTTGGTTCACAGTAAATCTTTGTGCTCAGATGTTGTACGTGGGCGTTAAGAAATAGAGAAGTGGCAGGAGTTTGACAGATCCTGGCCAGAGCTCAACCCTTTTATAGGTTATTTCATGTCTGTCCCAACTCACATTTGGTAACAGACGTTGCTCCAGACTGTGGGAGGAAAAGTAAATAAAATCCAAGCTGATATACAAAACCTTTGTTAAGGTACATTCAGTGATACAAAGACGAATCCATCACTGTGGGAATTGAAAAAGAAAAAAAATATATAAAATCATCCTAAAGTTCCACCCATTCTCTCGCGTTAAAAGCTCACTTTGTTCTCTTCTGTCTGTGAATGTGCTTACAGGTCAGTTATCAATAATAGCACAAACTAATCTTAGCTTTTCTATGCATTATCTCCAGCTTCCTATTTGCCTTAGATGTGTGTGAAAATGAGCTCCACACCCAGTCACAGCACTGTAGCACTCCTCTGTTTGGATTTATGAATGGATCAGTGAATGAACAGGTACTTAGGTGTGGCGCATTTAACCTGAATCAGTCTGAGTTCTGCACACCAAGAGAGAGGAGCCAGTCAGGGCTGGGCTGCATGAACTGGTTTCAGGTTGCATAAGGAGCCTGCAGAATGGGACAATACCGGCCAAGCCTGGTTTAAATAAATGCAAATAATATGTATATATCTTATAGTGAATCATGCTGAGAACAGCATATAATCAGGTTTGGTTAGTTTTTATCAGCACACCTTTTTAAGACTTTCTGCATCCTTTTTCTTAGAGAAAAGAAGTAAAGTATAACCTCATTACAGTAACCAAATTTGGTAACTTATTAGCCTATTCCTTCATTATTATCTAAAAAAAAAAAAATTGAATATTGCATTCGTGTCATATTTTTTGCCAGTTATCTCAGAACGTGAAACTATTATATCCAAGCGCACATAGAGTGAAGTCTTTGGTTCTTGTAATTTTGGTGATGATGGCTTACAGATGGTGAAAACCCAAAATTCAGAGCCCCAGGAAATTAGAATACTGTGAAAAAGGAAATGAATGAAAACTCGTGGAGTCACACCCTTACTCCACTAATTAACTCAAAACACCTGCAAGTGTTTCCTGAGCGTTTCTCACTCTGGGTCGGTAGGCTACACAATCATGGTGAAGAAAGATGACCTGACAGATGTCTAGCAGACGGTCATCAACACCCTTTACAAGGAGGGTAAGCGATAAAAGGTCACCGCTATAAAAGCTGGTTGTTCACAGAGTTTTGTATCCAAGCACATGAACAAAACACTGAAACAAAGAAGTTCGGTAGAAAAAGGTGCGCCGGCATCAAAGAGAGCAACGAGCCTTCAGAAGATTGTCAAGTGAAATCTGTTCCAGAATTTGGGGGAATTTCATAAGGAGTGAACTGTGCCTGGAGTCGGTGCCAAAAACATGTAGATGAATGCTAGACATGTCAAGCCACTCCTGAACCAGCGGTAACACCAGAGACATCTTACTTGTTTTAAGGAGAAACTGAACTTGACTGCTGTGTAAAGACTCCCATTTTAAGGTTGAATTCACTATTTCATTTAGAAATGGAGACACCAGGGTCTGGAGAGGCACAGAGTCCACGATGCTTGAAGTCCAGTGTGAATTTCCCACAGTCAGTGATGGTTTGAGGTGTCGTC